TCACTCTGTAGAGTGCATGAAAGCACCTTACAGTGTGCAGTTTTTAACCTTGCTGAAGGCACATTCTTTCGTATAGAATAAACCATTTAAATAGCAAAAGACAGGATGCAGGCTAAAGAATATTAAAGGTACAGTGGGGCCATTCTGTTAAGCCTACATAAAATGTATCCTGAGTAGAGAGAGAGAGACAAGAACCCTGATCCTGCCTGCCGTTTTCAAGCTCCTAAGAGGAAGCACCAGAGTGAGAAAATGCCTGAGACCCAGAGGGGGGAGCACAGGAGGGCTTGACCACCGTGAAGGTTGCTAAACGCCAAATTCATTTAGTCACAGTTTGCCTCAAAACAGTCACACACATTACCTTTTATTTCGCCAAAGTTCCCTGATCCCATTGCAAGAAGCTTGTCTTTCCAGTCCTTAGAGAGTAGCTTTTCGATACTGGGGGTTTCTAAGTAAAGAAGAAGAGGGAAAAAAATAATGTAAGCAAGTCAACATGACTATGTTTACAATAGAGCTCATTAAAAGCCTATCTGCTAAAAATAAGGCCATCCCGATCTGGGCCCCAGTCCATAATGACTTCATCAACAAACTGATAAGAGGGGAGGAAAAAAGAATGTGTTTTGTCACCTGCTGTTTCAAAATCATTAGCTTTTTCCTCTTGCGGAACAAAGCCATACTACTTCTTTATGACAATGGGTACATATAAACCGGCAGTTCATTGATTTTCAATTTGGTGAACAAATTCCTGTTATAATGGATGCTTGTCAATTTCAGGGTGTTAGTCTGCAGTCAAAAAATAATTATGTTGATAAAATGCACAGAAGAAAAAAAAAGGCAAAGAATTAGCTCTTAAATCTGCTACATGTAATTATATCCCTCTGTGTGTTTACAATTACATCCACTTTATAATATGTGTTTAACATTGTGTGGTAGGAAGCACACAAACACACTGTGGAAAGATTTGCCAGTACCACGAACAGTTAAAAAAAAAAGTTGATATAAAGGAAGCTTTAAAAGATTGTGAGATGTAGGTAATGCCTACAATAGAAAGCTATTATTTGTTTATTTCAGATTTACATCACACTCCTTAAAAATGCCCTATATTGGCAAGGGCACACACATTTTTAAAGAGCAAGGTTGTGGTTTAGACTGATATTTATATCTATAAATCACATGCTTTTTGACCTCTGTCTCTGTGTTGAATTTTAATGTATAAGTAAATATAAATGCTAATAAAACTCCCAAACATTCACCACAGTTCCAAACAATGTAATTGCATATTCTTGTCAGCACTTAGATGGGTCCACAATTACAATGGCTTTCAATCCCACGATTAGTACTGCATTCAGATAGAAAATGGAGTGTACGAAAAGATAAGTGTCCCAGTATGTGCCATCCAAATAACAATGCCCATACTTATTATCTAGATCTAAGACATGCACTGCCATTCTCCACATTGGTGTTTATGTGTATTTGTGTTTGTTCAGGCATTTGTTTACCCCCTACTAGGAGCAAAAAGGGAGTACATGTTAATTTATCAAAGGGACCGTCTGGCCTAGACACCATAAGATTATTAGAAACTGGTTAATTTTCCCCACAGCAAAAGGCATTGTAAGGAGCCTTAGTCATTGTCTCTGGATAATGCCATCGATTTTTTTTTTTCAGGGTCCCATCCAACAGCTGGAAGGTCCCAGCATCACAAAGCCTGTGTGGAGTTTCCAACAAAGCTGAGGTACAACTTTCCTTGGAAAATTGCAAGAGAAGAGAGCTCTTCTCTCTCAGGTGTCAAACATTCGTGGGAACTAAAATAATTACAAGCCCTGAATGACTACTGACTTACAAGGGTCTATATATATAGGTGACAATATAGAGCCACATACCTCAACTACTGCTACGTGCAGATTTACCTATGAAACATGTGAAATGTTGTCTTCCTTTATAGAATGATACAATTCTATCTTCACGCTTCAGAGGTGAAAATCTACTAAAGAATTCTTTTATGTCTTTTAAATATTCATATTTTTCTATGACAATGTTTTGAAAATAAAGGCAATTCTTTGAGCGATAAGTCATTCAACCTTATTGTAATCAATATTCCTAGTGTAATTCTTATTTCAAATCAGTCTGTTCACCGAAGCTTTAAAAATAAGTTTGAAAACCTACTCTGAGAGTCCCCAATGTCTCAACATTCCCAGAAAATGTTTGAAACCTTATCAGAATAGGTCAAATAAACACTACTGTTTCTTTTTTTCCAACACGCCACAAAATTCTTGAGTAGCATGCAAACAGGGCACAGCCAATACGGTATTTGCAATAGAGTACTGTCAGTCATTAAAAGCTAACAAACCTTTGCAAAGCAGGAATGCAGCAATAGAAATCCATTGTGCACTAACAATAGGCCCCTGAACCTCCCAGCACAGAAAGCAGACCATTTTACTTTTAAGGCTATTGTCCGCAAAGTCCATGACAAAGCGTTTCCCCTGCAGCTAGACAAAATATTCACTGTAGTGTGCTCATAAAGAAACAGAAGTCCTCTGTGTAAGTTTCAGAGTTAAAGAAACAGCCGCCAGATTTCTGAAACCTGTAGCACACTCTTGGCCTCTTTATTACTAGCATAAAGACCTAAGGCTCAAATACAAAGTCACGTCTTTCAAGTACCTGACTTTCAACATACACTACCCCCTTAAACGCACCCCTCCAAAAAAGAGAATCACTTCTTTAAGACCAAGTTATTTGGAAAACGTATAATCAGAAGCATGTCTAACTCAGGATTGTGATGTCTACGGGCAAATAAAGACACTAATACTCACAAGTTAGATAACGCATACACTTTGCATTTAGACTCACTAAGCATTCATTGAGCAGCCTAAGTGACAGAAGTAATGCTGAATGCTTTTAAAGGGGTTCTTTTATTTAACCAGAGCAACCACTGGAAAACTTGGGTAAGGTTATTTGTTATATTTTCATTTACAGTCTTAAAAAGAAACACTAAATACCAGAAGCACAAAGAAAGACAGGGCTGAGGGGATGTTTCCCAAACTACAACAGGCAGAGTGGACGTGTGAACCAAGTGTTTTTTCCCCTACAAATTCCTAATGTTCCTGTGGACAGTGAAATAAAAGGACAGGGTACTATTTTGAGGGCTAAATGCTGAGTAGTATATCTGGTCACTATGCATGGTATCGCAAACTCTTACAATACTCTCTGGAATATTGGAATAATATCCTTACTGAAGTCCTTGGGTGGTGCAAATGGTTAACTAGCTCTGCAACTAAGAGATCAGTTGGAGGTTTCAATCCTTATGGAGCTGTCACAAAAGAAAGGCCCCGTGATTTACTTTGCAAAAAGCAGCCATTGAAGCTCTGTGGGGCCCAGTTGGGCTCTGAACCCAATGGAGTTGTTGTGAGCCAGAACTGACTAGATGGCAAAAGTTTTTGTTTGTTTGGGGTTTTTTGTTTGTTTGTTTGTTTTAATGTAGGCTTAGACAGCTTAAGAAACTGAGGTGTAGGGGAAAATACTGATTTTTTTTTCCTTAATAGAGTTAAGTTCAGCATCTTCAGTGGTATAGTGGGCTATGCCCTGGGCTGCTAACCACAAGGTCAGAAGTTTGAAGCCACCAGTGGACCCACATGAGAAATGAGTCTCTCTACTCCCACACAGAGTCCCACTCTCGGACACCGAAAGGATCAATTCCACCCTGTTCTACATGGTTGTTATGAGTCAGAATCCACTTGAAACAGTGACTTGTGTTTTGGTTTTTGAGAGCTAAGTTCACCTCTTGGGTCCTAAAGACTTTTCCCTTTATTTCATTTGCAAATAAATCCTGTATAGTAAGAAAAACCACAGCTATTAATTCCACTGTTGGAGTAAAAAGTTGAAAGTTGACTCCTACTTCTGAGAGCACCTCTAGTTTAAAGACTTTTAAAGGTTCCACTGAGATTTGCTTCTTCTGAAGTGCAGCTAGTCTAAGGATTGGCATATCAGTCTAACCACCAAAAGGGCACCGAAGAGCCATAGATTAAGTAAGTGTGAGGGATAATAGTAAAGTTGTTGGATGCGGTTAGTGGTGTTAGGAGTTGGTTCCAGCTCAAAGTGGCCCAACTGTTACATTTGAGCCTATGGTTGACGCCGCTGTTTCAATGGTAATAATAATCATTGTTACTACTTGCATAGATTTCAATTCATAGAATGCTCTTAGATGCAACAATTTTGTCTACAGTGTATAGTACTACAGTGTATAGTACTATCACACTCATTTTTCTGATAAGGAAACTAGAGTTCTAAAGGTGACTGGCCTAATATCACCAAGCCAGAAAGTTGAACAGATTGAATTAAAGACCAGGCTTTCTTAGTTCAAGGACATGGTCGACTCAGGGCAAAGGCAAAAGTCTATAGCTGGTAAAAGAGACAAAAACAAATGGTAAGAAGTAAAATATAAGATCAATTAGAGTGAACTGAAAGATAGCCTTCATTAACCACTGCATTAAGACAAAATTTACTGGATTAACTTTGTCTCTTTCTTCCATAAGGAACATTCTGGTATATTTGCTTGCTTTTTCCCTTCTCACCCTTGCCTCTTTTGCTCACATATGCTTCTTCACATCAATGCCTGTGGCAATCTCCACCAGTGAATAGACCCCCCAACTGTGCGAGCCATTGTTACAGCAGCATCCTGCCTCTTTAGGGCCTGTTCATTCCCTATAACTCTCACTCCTTTTTCCCTTCAGTGCCAAACCCTCTTAAGGCTTACTCCCTCATCTGGAACAATGAGACCTAGAGACTCATGCCAACATATTGTAATTCTCCAACAAGCTGCCAGTGCCAAGAATTAAACCACATTCGCTCCAGTGCAGTAGCTTTACACACAAGCTCAGGTTTTTGCTTTGTGTTTATGTAGTCTCACCCCCCCTCCCCCACACTGCCCCCGTTAATCTCCCTTGAACTGCTGTGGCAGAGCTCAAAAACAACGGAACAAGCAACAAATACATTTGTATGATATTTGACTTTTTAAACAAAGTTCCAGGAGTTAGATCATCCCAAATCTACTACTGTTTATACTTTAATTTTGTTGCTTAAACTAAGCTCTGTTATCCCTGACATGTGATAGGTTACACATTTAGGAATGTGAGTAACCTGTGGGAAGAAACAAATAGTATGACTAAATTTCTAAATACACCAATACCTCCTTTTAAGTCAAAAAGTAAAAGCATAAGTATACTGTTCATATCATACATAACATGAGAATTTTAGAGCTGAAAAGAATCACTCTATGATGATTATCTCTCATTATATGCTTATCATTTAGATAAGCATTTCATAATTTACTAAAACATGTAAGAAACATAAGTGGTTTGGTTATGTAAAACTAAAGAGAAAAGAATTATTCTATTTTCATGTAAATTAAAACAATGGGTTGTTTCTTTTTTTTTTACACCCTGCCTGGCCTCC